AGACTAGATAGCTCAGCAGTTAAGAGCATTGGCTGCTCTTGCAGAGGACCCAGGTTCAGTTCCCAGCACCCACATGATGGCTAACAACCCTCCAGTTCCAGGGGATCTGATGCCCTCTTCTAACCTTAATGGGCATTGAAGGACACAGGTGCACTTACATACATGCAGACAATACACTCATATATGTTAAAACAAAACAAAATAAAAAAACAAAAAATAAAAACCGAAAGCTGGATGTAGTGGCACATGCCTTTAATCCCAGCACTCTGGAGGAGCAGCTCTGTAGAGCTTTGTGAGGTTGAGGCCAGCCTGGTCTACATAGCAAGTTCCAGGTCAGCTGGGGCTACAGGAGGACCCTGTCACAAAAAACTATAAATAATAAATAAATAAATAAATAAATAAATAAACAAACAAACAAACAAACAAAGATCTTGAACCAACAATTCACACAAGAACTAAAGAAACAAGTACAGTGAGTGAACAGACCTCAGTGACAAGCAGGAAGACTGTATCAGCACGCATGCTGGCTCCAGCACGCCCATACATGCTTGAAACACATTTAAACTCACATGAAAAATTAATTTACTAACGTCCCTCAGTGACAAGCAGGAAGACTGTATCAGCACGCATGCTGGCTCCAGCACGCCCATACATGCTTGAAACACATTTAAACTCACATGAAAAATTAATTTACTAACGTCAGTCCACACAACTACCCAAACACCTTATCTCCTTCTCATGAGTTCACCTGTTTCATCAGCTCTTTGTCCACATCGTTTGGCATTGACTCACGGATGGAGCGGAGGATGATTCTGTACAATGCAAGCGTATCTTGACACTGTAGACACTGATGAAGGGTTTTATCCAGGTTTCCTGCTCTCCCAGCACTGTAGGAGTTGAGAACAGATTTAATTTCTTCCATACTACCAACATCTGAAAAATCTGGGTACACAAAAACAATGACCTCTGTTTTTACGGTACAATTCATCTTGGGAATTCAAGAAAAATAGTAGTTTTATGGGGCTGCTGGAGTCACTGGGCTTCTTTTATTAAACCATTTAATTCATTTCAATAAACATATGCTGAGAGTTACTGTGTGTCAAGTAATTACTTTCATTGTGGAACACAAAAATGAATAAGACTTGGCTTTTACCCTCCAGCATGCCACCTTTATGCAGGAAGCATTGTCATGCATGTCATGATAAGCACTGTCCCTTAGCCATGCATACCAAAACTATGCAGAGCCAGAGTTTTGAGAACACTGGGGTAAGCTAAAGAAATTCAGTAAATAAGCAAGGCCTGGTAGTGCAAGCCTACAATCCCAGCTACTTGGGAAGCTGAGGCAGGAGCATCTTAAGTTTAAGGTCTACCTAGGGTACAGAGTGAATTTAAGCCAGTCTTATAACCTAGTGAGATCTTGTCTCAAAATGAAAAAGGGCTATCCTGACCTAGAGATGTAGCCTAGCAGTAGAGTGCTTGCCCTTGCCTAGCCCTGGCTTCAATCCCCAGCACTGCAAAAACAAACTCCACCCACCCAGCATATTTCTCAGTAATTTTTTAAAATACAAAAATAGTCCATGGCTCTTAAAATATATTCTCCCGACAAACACTGTGAAGTGTATGGAAGAGGAAGCACATTCTGTGCTGGGCTCAGTGTGCTGCTGCAGCTCACCAAGGCCGGGTACCTTGCCACCACTTAACAGCAGAAAGCCTGGTGGACATGACGCAGGTAACTTAAAGTTGAGGAAGATGTTTTTCTTTTCACTTCATGTTTCATACCCAAGATGAGAATGTGGAATTAAGAGATAAGAAAATTAGATTCACTGTCTATAAAAGGTTGTACTAAGATTATCTTATTGTGATGAACACACACATACATATACATATACCTCTGGTTGAGGAGAGACAACTGTGAGAGTGAAGCTGTCTAGGAAGAAACAGAAGTACAACAGTACAGAGCCTACTGAAGGCAGATCCCTACTAGATAGAAAGCAACACTAGAACTTCTTGACAGACATATGTGCATCTGAGAATAGTAAAGGGTTCCTCCCTACATACTTGCCAACAATAGGATCTCCAACACAATGTTCTTACACTTCAGCTGGTTCCACTTTCCCAAAGCTAGGGGCCTAAGTTGGTGATAACCATTACTGGTATTCACCAGAGGTCCCCAAATGAGGGCCAAGATGGCCTTGTGCAAACCCAGGATAAAAAGAGTTAATGTGATAAAAATTAGACAAGTCTATCCACCGTCTGATAAACTGTACAGCCTACTCCATCCTCAACAATAAGTCACAGTGAGTCTTAGTGTCATGCTGGGAACAGGGAGAAACCTGAGAGGTCCAGAAACTGTCCTGTGAGCAGCTCAGTTCACAGGGTGAGAAAGTGGTCTGCAGCAAGACAAAACCAAACATGCCCACATCAATCTCACAGAAAATGACCACCACTTACTGCGCCATCATTTTGCCGAAAAGGGTGACGTAAAGGGCATTGCGGGTTGTTGTGGAACGACAGTGCTGTTCTAGCTGCTTCTCCTATAACAGTTTCCAAACAAGACAAAACTATGAAAAGTACCCTGGAGGGTAGTCATTACTACTGAGTCACCTACAAATGCCCCAGTGGAAATATCACTGTCTCTACCACTATCAACGATGCCACGCAGTGACACAGGGTAGTGGAGGGTCCCTGGCTATGGCCAGATTTCCAGCTGCAGAAGATGCAGCCAATAGGAAAACACTTTCCAGCTTTTAGAACACATACTTAATACTATATAATATCCCTTAAGGCCAAAATATTTTTATTGGTTCTATAAGATTAAAAAGGGAATGGAGGGGGTTGGGGAGATGGCTCAGTGGTTGAAGTGCTTGCTGTACAAGCTTGAGGTCCTAAGTTCAGCTTGCCAGGAGCCCACAGACAAAAAAGAGCTGGGCACAGTGGTGACTGCCTGTAACCCCAGGACTGGGAAGTGGGAATGGGAGTGAAGGTTGGGTAGCAGAGGTAACCAGATCGCTGGGGTTTGCTGGTCAGCTAGGCTAGCCAACTGGTGAGCACTAGGTTCACTGACAGACCCTGTCTCCGAAAAATAAGATGAGGAGCAATAGCAGAGGATTCCTGACTTCAATATCTAGCCTCCACATGCACATGCGTGGGTGTGTACACATTCATTCATTCATTCATTCATTCATTCTCTCTCTCTCACACACACATACACACACACAAATACAGCTTTTAAAGGGGAGAATGAATTTACCAAATTAATTACTGAATTCCAATTTTCCTCATGAGAACAGGGCTCCTATATTGAATTTTAAGTCTTGTGCAAGGTATTTTACAGGAAAGCTGACAGAGTGAAGAAACTATCACAATGGGAAATACTCACCTGCTCTTTACTCAGTATTATGTCCGAAAACTCACATTCTGCAATTATTATAGATTTTGCATCTTTGGGGTTTAAAGGATCAAGATGTAGTGTAGGCCACAACCTTTTATTTAAAGAGAAGGGAAAAACAAAACAAAACCAAAATTCTAACAATACAACAAAGACTATAATTTAGCACAGGTTACCCATAGCACAGATTAAAACCCATTATATCCCCTGT